GCCTTGGTCGCGAGCGCATCTCTCACGACACGTCGGGTTTTGGTTGACCCCGACCGTGTGGAAAGCTGTCGGCCGACGAGAGCGCCTCAGCGCGCGGTTAGCAGTTGTTGCGGGGTAAAGTTGGTGCGGCGGTGGTTTGGTCATGTAGAAAGAATGAATGCGGAAAGACTGACAAAGCAAATATATGTTGCAGAAGTGAATGGAAGAGTCGGAAAGGGACGTCCTAGGCGGAAGTTTATCGACCAAATTGGCGATATACTAAAAATGGGCCAAATTAAGAGTACCCTTAACCGACGAGCATGTATGCGTAGGTATATGGATGTGGAAGAGTCGAGAAAGGTATGTCAGGATCGTGCTAAATGGAAGTCTGTAGTCTCTGCCTACCCCTCTGGGTGACAGGCGTGAGTGTTTATGTTTATGTTACTTTTTTTTGTTGTTTTTCTTCACTCAAGCATAAAAAGTTATTGTCACACCGATATTTTTTTGCTTCGAAAGACAAGGAGCCATATTTAGCTAATTTCATACGCTTTAAATGCCGTAGAGAACTGACAAGTTGAGTCAACCACACGACCGTGTAGAACGAAAACAAAAACAGGTTGACCCGACCAAGAATATGATGGTCAGCGGTTAGACCCGATCGTGTAGAAGGCCTTTAATGATAGTTATAGTAGGTGTGTATATATAATACCTAGAGGCTGTCACATGCGGTATGCCTGTGAACAGGTGCCGCTTTGAGTCAGCCCCGGTTTGCGATAATACACATTATCGTTTTAACTGTGTTATTTTATTTATTGTACACTCTTTTAGTAGGTAGCTTAATGTGTGTCGGAACTGAGTAAATGATATGAAAAAAGTTTGAGAAATGTATTTCGATCTCATTACGGCTCGGTTATTTTATCGCTTGTACATGTTCTATTTCACAAACAGAAGTTATACTTTTATATATATTCTGTAAATACGTTATAACCTGCGTTTATTGTACTATTTAATACAGTGCTGCATGGATCTTTTGGCACGTGGCTATAATCGGAAGTAAACGCCGTCATTGCCGCCATCTTGTAAAACGTCAGTTTAGACAGCCGGCTCAAGTCGTTGTTGTATACCGTTATTTATTGCTTTTATTTATTTATTTATTTAAAAAAAAGGTCTACCTACAATTGTTACAATTTAACATACTAAATCTAAATGTATGATAAAGTCTTATACTAATTGCACAATTACTTACAGGTAAACACCGCTAAACCATAATTAAAGTGTTAATTTACATATTATGTTAAGAAAAAAAATTAATTAAAACATTTTAAAACAGAACAACAAAACAACCAGTGATTTAGATATTATGTGTAGTAAACATACAGAATAAAAATAACTTAATTTGAAATTGTGTCTAACAAGTACTTGCGAAACTTGTACGAGGAAACAAAATTTATATCTGTCCGGCTACTGATCCCATTATAAAGTTTACTTAACCTAGCTACAGGAGAGTTGTTACCAAGCACAGTCCTACGAAATGGTGGGGCAAGTGGAAGAATGGGAGCTCGCGGAAGTATCCTGGGCACCCTAAATTTAATGTAACTTAGAAGTTGGGGACAGTCTATTTGACTTCTTAAAATTTTGAAAATAAAAGTTAGGTCGATAATAGCTCTGCGTTTTTCAAGAGAGTCCATGTTAAAATGTTTTAGCCTGTGGGAGTAAGAGTAAGAGAAGCCCCTTCGTCCCATTCCAGAAGAGAACGCCAGGTGCCAAAGAAATCTCTTCTGTATCCTTTCTAGCCGCAGATAATGGGTAGCATAGTGCGGTCTCCATACTACGCTACAATACTCAAGAGTGCTACGAATAAAGGCATTATATAATATTTTTTTTTGTTTGATAACTGCGAAAAATTTTACCGTTTCTAATAATAAATCCTAACATTTTCGATGCTTTCTTGACAATATGATCATAATGTGGAATAAATGTCAATTTGCGGTCAAACACTACCCCTAAGTCTAAAACAGTATCTATTTCACTTAAAGTAGAATCATCTATTATATAATGCGAGCTTATAAAGTTACGGTTTCGACAAAATTTAATATGAAAACATTTATTTACATTTAGGTTCATTGAGTTATTTTTACACCAGTGTGACAGCCTATTTAAATCAGATTGCAATAGTACTACATCGGAATCATCAACAATTTTACGAGAAATCTTTAAATCGTCTGCATAAAGATAAGGTTTAGAGTAAATAAAACTATCAGTTATATCGTTAATAAAGATGTTAAAAAGTATGGGCCCAAGATGTGATCCTTGCGGCACACCAGATGTTATATCGTAAGTATCAGAGTTAAACCCATCCAAGACTACGTAGAAGGAACGGTTACTTAAATAGGACTTAAACCAATCCCAAATCTTTCCTGTGAATCCATAGGAGCTTAATTTTCTTAGCAAAATTGAATGTGAAACTTTGTCGAATGCCTTGCTAAAATCGGTATAGATAACATCAACTTGATTTCTATTGTCAATGGCATCTACAAGATCTTCGACAAAAGTTACAAGATTAGTTAAAGTTGATCTATTTTTCACGAAACCGTGCTGAGAGTCAGTCATAAATTGTCGGAAATAGGTTTGAATATGAGGACAAACGATTGATTCAAGAAGCTTGGCTAATGTAGAAAGTATCGAGATTGGCCGATAATTCGAAACAATACCAATATCACCTGATTTAAAGACTGGTACTACCTTTGCAAGCTTCCACAGATCTGGAAACACTCCAGTAATAAATGACTCATTTATAATTTTACACAAAGGAAAAGCTAAACTATCAGTACAATTTTTAAGAAATATTGGCGCTAATCCATCGGCACCAGTACCTTTGGTAATATCTAAAGTTTTGAGTTTATTAACAATAACATTGAGATCAACGGTAAGACTGGAAAAACATGAACTCCCATTATCAATGATTCTAAGACTTTCAACTTCAGAATGGGGTCCTTCTTTTGGATTATCACCATAGACCCTTGAATAAGTTGCAGCAAACAATTCACAAATGCTTTGGCCATTGTTTGCTATAGTGATACCATCTGTGACAGACCTGGGATAGGCACTAGACCCTCCACGTTTGCTTTTGATAAATGACCAAAAGTATTTTGAATTTTGCCTAATCGTTTTCTCTATGTTAACAATATAATTATTATAACACTCTTTAGCTAACTTATCGCATCTTTGACTTAAAATTTGTAGTTCAATTTCGTCTAAAGGGTTACTATATTTTTTATACTTAAGCCGAAGTTTATTTTTTTCCTTTAGTCTTGCAATCAGCACTTTATTAAACCATGGGGGGTGACGTTTAAGGCAATTAACATTTTTAATTGGAACAAATTTTTTAATGACTTCGTTTATCATAGAATATTTCTAACATCCTATTCACGTCATTGCATAGGGAGAAGATTGAGTCCCAATCCAAACTAAAAAGATACTTATTTATTGCCTCATAATCAGCCTTATAAAAATTATACTTAAGAACACTCATATTAGGCGTTAGTTTTTCTGTTTCATCAGATGCGATATAAGTGCATATAGGTGGATGTTGTGGATCGATGTTGGATAAAACATCATAAGCAGAAGACACAGTACAGTTATCAATATCTGTAAGAACTAGATCCAATATTTTATCTCTAGCGTTAATTATATAGTTAATTTGTTTTAGATTATTAACAAAAGTAAAATCTATTAATGTTTGACAAAGACTGGTGGTGCAGTAGCTTGAATTGTGATTAACCTGCGTCCAATCTATATTACTCATATTAAAGTCGCCAATAATACATAGATGTCCGTCAAAATTCTCAAGAACCGCATTACAGTTATTAACAAAATGTTCTAACACGCTACGTTGAATTGGTGGTGGGAGGTAAACGGCGCAAAGTGCGATCTTTTTAACTACTGAAAAAGGCAGATTTATCACAATCTAAAGATCTTCACATGCACTATTCCATTCATTTATACAGTCAGAAGATAAGCTTTTTTTGACCGCAACCAGAACCCCACCTCCATCCTTGCCACCATGAAATCCTGACGTTTCTCTATCCCTTCTGAATACTGTGTAACGGTTATCAAATAGTTCGGAGCTCAATACGCTGCTGTTTAACCACGTCTCTGTTAAGACTATTACATCATAGTCACTAGTTGCTAACTTACGATTAAATGTTTGTGTTTTGGTCCTAAGACCTCTAACATTCTGGTAATAAATTACAAGCGAATTAATATTAGCAGGTGACATTGTATTTTAACTTTATATTAACTAATAGAAACAATTAGCGAATTACTCTAGTTTTGATAATGAATCAAAATTTTTAATTTGAATAAAGCCTGAATTTTCACTTTTTCTTAGAAATATACGTCCACCTCTCACCCAAACAAATTTAAACCCTTTTTTCCTTTGCAGTCTTCCTCGCCGCCGAATGCAATTCCTTATTTGCAGCTGACAAGTGCTCTGTTACGTATACCGGAGTCTTAGGACCATTAAAACCAAGGTGACTAGAGTTCAACTTGTTATCCGGGTTAGCTTTATTAAATTTGATTGTGGCTGCTAAGAAGCTATCTCGTACTCTAGTGTTATTAAATTCAACTATCACCGAACGAGGACGATCATTATTCGGATTGAGTTTGGCAATTCTTGTTATTCGATTTATCTGTTCAGTTTTGATGTCGCACTTTACTATACTGCAAATGTTGTTGAACACCGTGAAAAGATTTTCTGACTTCTTCTCTGGCAAGCATTGAATTTCGACGTTGCTGCTGCGGGCGTTCTGCTCAAGGTTGTTCATGCGTGTCTCAAGATATTTTATAGTACTCTGCAATTTGGCATTTGTTTCAATCAGACTCTTAGTATCTTCCAGAGACTTAGTATTTTTATTTTGAATATCTTCACATTTTCTATTCATATCATCCATTTTCTGCTTCATGTTACAAATTTCTTCCCGAAATGTTTTAAGTTCAGTATCTAGAATGGAACGCACGTTTTAGGTCATCTGAACCATAAGGTCTGATATATGCTTTTGAATAATTTCCTCCATAATGTTACGCACCTCTGTACGTGTTACAGGGCCTTCAATTTCAATTTCCGGGGGGGATGACAATGCCTGTCTTTTGGAGGCTCGTACTGTAATATTAGGGTCACATTTTACTGGTGTGTTATCCTTATTGCCAGTCGCGTGGAGAGGTCTAATGCAACATGGACCGATCCAGTCAGTAGCATGCTTTATCGCTTTCAAATTGTCGACATCATTGGTTAGACATTTAAGATGATATGCCTTGTTACATGTGTTGCAAAGCTTGTAAATATTATCTTCAAACCCTAAAGAACAACAACCCCATTCAATTAAATCTTGATCCATTTTATAATATAATTTTAGTTATACTTGTCGTGATAAATAAATTATATTTTGGCACAGCAGTAAATGCCCGAACCAAAAATCCACAGCAACAAAGTCGTTTTTTTTTTTTTTTTTACGGGTACATTAACAAAATTATAAGTCACAGTTTATAACGGCGCGGCAGTAGGTTAATTATTCGTTAACAATTACTTTCAATTTTAAAGTTTATAGGTATTTTAAGATTAAAACACAATACTCTACACAACGTTAAATTTAAAGTTCACTTAATTATCACTTGTTTCAGTATTTTAAACGTTCTTAACATAAAGAAAAAATTATTAAATTCGCGGAGCAAAATGACACCGCCGCGTTCACAACGATGCACCAGACATAACCAGATCAAGTTTAGTGTTGATAAGAAGTGGTACTAGAGAGGTGGTGTTAAATATGAAGAGATTTTTTATGAAGGAAAAGCAATCTAGCGCCCCTGTTATTCCATTTGAAAGAGTAAATGAGCGCGTTGCAGCTGCTACAGGTAAGTGATGCCATACATAGTATCCTTAGTTTGCTCGTTTTATTTACCAAGGATAGTGGTCATATTTTGTAGGCTTATTATGAGATATATTTTCTCCTTCAAATTGATAAAAATAAATACGATTTCAGGTATATCTTTACGAACAGTTGCACGAATTACAAATGAAGGGAAATTAGCTAAAGAATCGTCAAGTAAAATAGTAACACCGGGGAAGAAAAGAAAAACAAGGAAGGATAAAATTGTTATGGACAATTTTGATATTGGTGTTCTTAGACGAAAGATCCATGAGTTTTATTCTTGTAAAAAAAGAAATACCAACAGTGAATAAGTTGCTTCGTCTACTTAAAGAAGAGATTGGATTCACTGGCAGTAGAGAAATTCTCAGACAGCACATAAAAAAAGATTGGTTTTCGATATAAAAAAACTAAAAGCAATAGAAAAGTACTGATGGAACTTAACGATATAACTTTTTTTATGGTAGGTACATTCTATTTAATGTTCTAATTAGTGAAATTATTTGAGTAACATAGAATTATTCAGACTATAAGGTAATGAAGAAGTTACAGTTATTTATTAGATGAGACATATATTCACTCCGGTCATACAGCTGGTAAATGTTGGCAAGATGATGATGAAGGTATTGTTTAGTTAACTATCTCATAATATTTATAGTCTAGTTAATTAGTGTTATTTGCATTTGTTAATGTACAAACGACTGATTTCAGATGGAGTATTAGAGCCTGTCTCCAAAGGACAAAGATTTATTATTGTCCATGCCGGAGGTAATGAAGGTTTTGTAGAGAATGCATGTTTGGTGTTCAAGTCACAAACAAAAAGTGGTGATTACCATGATGATATGAATCACACAAATTTTAAAAAATGGGTTGCAGAAAAGTTAGCTCCCAATTTGACAAAACGCAGTTTAATTATAATGGATAACGCTCCATATCACAAAACACGCATCAAAAAACCCCCAAACACAACTACCAGAAAACCAGAAATAATTGAGTGGTTACAAAATAACAATATTGAATATTCAGAAGAATACACAAGACCACAATTGTTTGAAATTGTCAATAGATATAAGCCCGAACCAGTGTATGCTGTTGATGCTATTTTAAAAGTACTGGGTCACAAGGTAATCATGACTTATATACTAAATCTACAAGTAAAGTGACTTCATAAATTGTTATTTTTTATTAAAATAAATGACTAAGGGTTTATTTAAAATTGCTTATTTTCTTTTTCAGATATCGCGTTTACCACTGTATCATTTTGACCTCAATCCTAATGAAATGATCTGGGTATCAATGTAACGCAAAGTAGCTGAGGTAAATATTGGCAAACCAGCCAATCAAATGCCAGAAATGGTACAGGAAGCTTTTAATTCCATTTCCGCCGAAGAATGGTGCAATCATTGTGCCCACGTCAAGAAACTTGAAGAAGAATACAGAAGTAAAGATGGATATTTGGATGCACCTTTCATCGTGGAATTATGCTCTGAGAGTGAAGAAAGCAGTGATGGCGATTCTCAAGATGAAAGTGATGAAGAATTTAATAGCATTGAACCTCTCGCCATAGTTCATGCAGAACATAATTATAGTAAAAAAATTTGAAATATTGTTTTTTATTTCGTTTCCTATTGCATTATAGTTTTCATGTTATAAATTCTGTCATCCAAATATTTCCTTCTTTTAATTTATGCTACTAAGGTAGCAACTAAGCATAATGCCTGCCTTATGGTAAGCCTGAGCCCGCAAAAACCATTTTACAACCTAGTTATATAACCCAACTATCTTTCGCCATAACATCATTCCCAACGTGTATGCAAAATTTCATGATGATCGGTTCAGTAGATAGGGCGTGAAAGCGTAACAAACAAACAAGCAAACTCACTTTCGCATTTATAATATTAGTTGGGATACTGACAAGCCCCACACTCCATAATTAAGACGAATTCCATAAAACAAAGGATTTTTTTAGCTGGTAACCGTTAGTGAACACCCACGCCCTCATGTCAATGTCATGCAAGTGCCAAATGATCCTTGTGGGACTATATTATAAAACGACAAAAACGTTTCGCAGTTTCTGCTCTCTTCTATCAGAAGGAACATAATTTAAAGAAATATATCAAAAACATAATTTTCACAGACGAAATTTTGTTTTCTTATTATAAAAATAAACAAATTTCCTTTTATTTTGCGACACAGGCGCAGAAAAGCATCTTTTTTATATATAACCCAGAGCTAGCATATCCATCGATCTCTGTTTCCCTCATGAAGTCTTCACTCGATTAAGTGACGTTTAACATAGTGTAGGACTATATTTTATAATAATATATTCTTATACCTGCGTAATATAGTGCAAAAAATGCTGGCAACATTTCTACCTGAATAGCTAGACTTAGCCTTTGGATAAAGAAGCAGCCTCCTTGTTTAGTTTAGTTTAGTTTACGTCGGGCTGTTTTCCGTCTAATACTCAACTCCACGTCTAAGCGCGTATTTGATGCATATTTGATGTTGCGAGCAACTTCGGGAAGTGATCCCGGTGTGCCGAGATGTTGAGCCTTGTATGCAGCGACCTCCGGACATGTCAGCAACACATGAGCCGCCGTTCTATTAACCTATGTTTGATAAAGGAGTCATGTCCTGTGATAGTACTTATTACTATCCTGATCTGTGACTTGTTCAGTCTCACTAGAACCTTAGTTAGACGATTGTTTATTTCATGCAGGGCCTCCCTAGCTTGTCTACAGTCAGCTAGATTTTTCCAAAGCTAAGCGTGTAAATTATTGAAGTTTCTACGTGCCAGTGAACGAACGTAACCAAAGGAGATTAGTATTATTGGTTACAGGCCTATAGTGGCCAAAGCCGACCCCTTCTGGGCATTTCGTCTACTGCATCGTAACCTCTGGATCCACTGTGTCCCTTAATCCATTGCAGAGTCACATCTTTGTGCTTACATACCTCATTTAATCGTTATTGGCACTCATATATTGGTCCCAAGTTCACCACATTACAACTCAGAGCTTATAGTACCGCCATATTGTCGGTCGGTATTCTGATTAAGAAGTATTTTACCTTCCTAGCATCTATTGCTCTGGCCGCTTGGATGATACCCATACTTTCCGGATCAGGATGACTGTGATATAGATACCCAGCGGTGTAAATATGTGGATATTAAGGTCTTCAGAGAAAGTTCCAGATCCTAAACCTTCATTTGTTTTAGAACCATCCGTGAAAGCTCTAAGCTCTTTTGGGTATAATCCCTCCAGCTGGTTGGTTTCATTTAATTGTATCTTATACTTCTTATCGATTACAAATTGTTTGGGGATCTTATCGTACTTGGCTTGTAAGAGAGGAATTTTTGAGTAAATTCTATTAATTATAGCTGTATAAGGAACTATTCTTACTTAAAAGATTTTGGTTCTTGAGTCTAATGGCAACTAAAGTTGCTTCTTGTTGTATGTGTAGATGAAGCGTGGTTAGCTCCAGTGAAGATGAACTCCTCTAAAGCTGCTGTTGATGTAGTTCTAATGTAGCCTGTGGCAGCCATACATGCCAATATCTGGTAATGCTGAAGCTTTTTTTAGTGAAGGCTTCATTAGTTTTGTCCACCATACTAGAGCGCCGTATGTGATCATGGGCCGAGTTACAGTTTTGTACGGCCACAATATAATTTTTGGCGTCAAACTTCATCGTTTGCCAATGATGTTTCTGAATTTCCAAGAAGTTATTCTAGATTTGTTAATTTTGTTATCTATGTGTTTATTCCAGTTGCGTTTACTGTCCAAGGTAAGACCTAAGTACTTTATATCAGAGAATAGCTGGAGTTTTGTGTTGAAAAGACTTGGGAAATGATAGTTATTCAGCGTTTGTTTTTTGTGAACATTACTAGAACCGTCTTGTTTGGATTAACAATTAGGTCACATGCCCTGCACCATTTCTCCACTATACACAGAGCCGCTTGGATAAGGTCGTAAACCATTCTTGCTGTCTTTCCAGAGAACAGTATTGTCAGGTCATCTGCATAACCTACTGTGTAGAAATGATGGCATTTAATTTTCTGATGAGTTCATTAATAACAATATTCCACAGGACAGGTGAGAGACTACGTGATAGAGCCATGCTGCAGTTATATTAAAAGTATAGTTGTATCTCGAATGGGTCGACTCAACCGGGGAAGAACCACGCTCTCACAGAATACCAGCGTGATATAGTAGCTTAACGTTGCTGTTTGTCCTATGGTAAGTGTTGAGAACCGGAGATCCTTTTAACCGAAATCGAGGCATTAAAAAGATATTAATAGTAACTTTACAACAATCTGCTTAATTAAATAAAAGGATGTGTCTTCCCTAGTTTGAAGAGCACCTCCCGCCCTCCCTCATTTGCGTGAACTAATCCCGTCACCACTAATCCCAGCCCCACTACTCCCAATTTTTTTAGGAAATATACACCATCGACGATAATACGACACGTGTTTCGCC